CTCACCGCGACGCGACCACTTCGTTCCTAACGCACCACACCCCTTTCAAGGCTGTGATTGGCTGATTGCATGTGTCCACCAATAACGAGTGGTTCACGCGCTTTAATTCACCTGCACTAGTAGGTTTTCGTCAAGGCCGTCTCGATGGTAAGAAAGGCAGCAAACATTATTATTGAAAAAATCATTTGTATTCATTGAGGAAATTTCATTTAGAACTTTCCTTAGACCTTAGACTCTTAAAACATTTACTCTCCGAAGTAGCATGACTTTAGTATGAAACGTAATCACTTTACTTTGCTCTTCATACCAAGGCCCACATTCTGCTCGATGTTATTATTTTTTCTCATGATATCTGATGATATTTAATGGATCTTCACTTAAAGATGCCCGTAATAACGCCGGAAATTCGCGGACCCCATGAAGATCACTCTGGAGAAGGGCGGAGCACTCAAACTGATTCCTATCCGATTGTAGTTGCTCCACCTCATCGCAAAAGTAGTGATACGCCGGTCAATATGGAGGAAGTAAGTTATCTATAATGATAAAATTATGGAATAATTTTCTGGGATAGCCACTAGAATATAGGATGTTAAGATTGAAGAACGAGAAGCGCTATATCAAGTGATCGAGGACGCCTTAGGCGAGACCATCGACCGCTACTCACGATTACGTACTAATCAAATCATCGCTAACAGTGCTAGGAAACAGGTAAGTAATCCTATGTTACATTTCAATATCAATATATATTAAATATCAATATATATTAAAAAGAATGTAAAAGAATGATTTTGTCAATACAACTGAAGGTGGACCATGAGTAACTCTGTTTCAGTAAAACGAGTAATGAGTTCATTCTGTGAACTAAAGTAGGTAGAATGAGACCTTTTAAGTCAATCGATCCCTTTCCCAGGGTGCGCCCTGCGATCACCTCCCATTCAGAATCGTAGTGATATTTTGAATGTGCATGTTTCCTTTACAATGACTGGCGCTGGCCAGCAGTGCGATGTAAAGTCAGTATAACCTCCCTAACGAGTTTGTTGAAAATCAAGTGACCCCAGAGAGATCGAAGACTTTTTCGGCCAGGGTAGGTGACGGTTCGAGGGTATTCCTAAAAAATGCTATAAATTTATTACCCACCCTGGAGGCTCGAGGGAATATGGCTGGGCTCGGTAGGCATGGTTTATCTCCCGACACAGACTACCCCTGTACTATCAACAGCACCACTTATCAGCTTCTACAGCTCCCAATATGATGGAATACAGTGTTTACTTAAGTAAAGGATAAAGTTTCTGGCGTCAGTCAATCCCGTCTGAGGGATGCGCCCCCGCACTCGACTTCCATTCAGAATCGTAGTGGAGCAGTGAGTGCGTACGTGGCCTATACAATGAATTGCGGTGACCAGCCAATGTACAAGTCAGTGCTTTTGTCCTCCCAGACGAGTCTGGTGTCAATTAATCGACCCCGGAGGATGAAAGGCTTGGTTGGCCCAGGCGGACGATCCGGGATTCGAATCCCTGACCGTGCGTGTGGGATAGTGCGCCACTTGCCAACACCACCCTAGCCCGTGTTTAGTTGAGGCACTGGAAAATTTCACCTATTTATTTGCTTGCCATGATCAAATGTAAGTACTGGAGTTATCTACAAAAAACAGAAAACCGGCTTCAATTGAAAATGAGTCAACAAAATTCAAAGACTTAATACATCCAAGATAATTGCTAGGAAGGGTCGAATTATCCCTCCATAAACATAAATCGTATGACGTAGGCACAAACATGATTTACGTAAGCGATGAGCCAGGCTCTTATTTACATGATTATTAATGCTTCCCCATGTCTATTTATAGTTTCCCAGAGAAGAAAATAAACAACGTGCATGAGAAAATTGATGCGAGAGCATACAAAAAATAATTCAAGTTTGTAATCCCTTTTATTTATAATTTTAGTAGAATTACATCCCTTTCATGTGAATTCTGATCGGAACAAGAGCATTCAAACACTTGCCCAAAATTTGATAAACTTCTCGAATTTTCAGACTCGGACAAGTTAAGTAATAACTCTAGTAAGTATTTAATATGGTAACAACCTAGCCTTTTACCCTCCCCCTTCCCTTCATCCGTTCATTTGAATGCCAAAATTGCATGCCGCTTCCAACCGTAGGTAGTATGCCATAGAGTTGCGGTCATAATAAAACGGACAGTACAAATCGATCTCATAGGTCACATTACAAATTTACGAGTAAGATGTTCCTTATACAAGTAGTTTACTGGATAGCGGTGTAGAGAAATCAAGTATTGTTTAGGCACAAATCTGGCGTGACGCAAAAGACTTCATCGCAAATCAACTCGTCCCTCAGTCTATTCAAATGGCAAACAAAAGCCGGTCACGGAAAAAAACGGCCGCCGAGATCGTCGCCAGCATTAAGTGCTATCCCTAGTTCTACACATGCAAATACCATCGCATACGACTTTCAATGACTGAGTCCGATTGTGCTCAAAAGCTCTGTGTGTGTGTTCAGATTCACAACAGGATCATATCAACCGCGCTAAAGAACCAAACATGATGCTCATGTTTTGACAACAACCCGATCAATATGTATCTTCTGTGCTGCATAACTATTGTACGCACAAACCCCTGCGTGTGACGCCTTACCAAGAGGAATCGCTCACAGCATCTCACTAGTTACATAGAGAAATCAAATTTAGTTGATAATTCATTCTTATACTAGATTGTTGGTTATGCACTTTCTATATCTTAATGGGGTATGATGTAGTTGTCCAGAATGGTATCAATAGATATTCTTAAAAAAGTAAAAGAAAATATTTACTCAGATAACGGGAGTATATTTAGTTCCTCAAGTATTAGTCAGGTGCTTCTACACATCTTCCATATTTGCTCATATGAGATCTTCCATAATGTCGTTAAAGAAATAAAGAATCAGTTGAACAGTTGTGTTTCTGTTTCTTCACTGTGCGTTACATTTCAATACTTAATATGAGTAAGAATCCCAAACTCAGTAAAAATGGCCATGGTAACCAAATTGTGCGAATGCATCAACCTTTCATTTCATGCACATCTATGACTGCTTTCACAGTTCACGATTTGGCCCGCGAGCGATCGAGCGATTGGGGCGGCGCTTGGACCTCTACAACTGGATTTTGGTCGATACCGCGGGCAAGCGCCGCCCCATCGCTCGATCGCGGGCCAAATCGTGGACTATGAATACAGCCTACCTGCTCTTTTTACCCGACTGTCCCTACCCTACTTTTTCTTCTATGAATCCATCCACACTGATGGCAACCTCCACGACCTTTATTCCAACAGGATCGCTAGTGATGATGCCCCTTCATGAGCTCTTAGGGGCTGCTGGCTTTCTCGGCGATCAGAACATAGAGCATCCCCTACCAGGTAGCACTCTGGATTATTTCAACATACGCTCATACCTTACAGTTACCTACGGCTTACTTTTAGCTGAACGAGGAATCCTTGGGTGTGGTGCAGTAGGGTCGAAACTGTCGCGTCGTGGCGAATGAAACGCCGCGCGAAGGAAATTGCAGAATGCAGCAGGAGGTACAAAATACAGGAAAAAAAGGAACTATCAGTAGGATCATGCCTAAAATAAGGATCGCATATCGATTGAGCTGTATGAAGAACGCTAGAGCTGTAATAACGGCGAGCGAATGGTCCGCGACAGCCGCGTGCGGCAAATCGATTACGCAAAACCGCTCCTACTGCCCGTCTCCCGCAATCCCTTCATGCTTACCATCACATTTTGTTAGCGCCCCGATAATCTCATGCCGATTACTGCTCACTACATCACTACGGAAAAATAACAGCAGTATAACAATTTGCTTTTAACGACCCACCGCTCCTCTAGATTCCAGAAAGGGATTGAATGGAACACCCTTGTCTACAACTGGTAGCCGAACATTAGGTCGTCCCAGAAATTCGATCTGGTGGCCACGGTTCTACAAAATGCTTCTAATTTCCTTCTCTGTCAATACACAACCAAACAACGACTGGAAATGATAGTGTGGCTATAGAGGAGATAGCAGTGCCTGCTGCCCGTTCCTAACCAGAACGTGCAAAAAAATGAAACGTATACGATCACCGTTTACTTCCTGAATTGTGAAAGAGGGAGAGACTTAAAAATTGAACATTTGCAAGTGGTGATCTGCAATCACATAATTCCTATAAAAACATATACGGACAAAAATAAAACTACATGACACGACAACATCAATCAATGAACAAAGGCGAACAAAGCTGAGTAGTATTTGCCTCCCAGGCATGACAATCATGAAACATAATCGTCATTTAGAATTAAAAACGTGTTCGAAGAAAACTTCGAGTCAAAGAAGAAAAAAAAACATCGAATTACCCGCATCAACATCAAGGAAGAAAAAAGCGAACACGGAGCAATGAAAACATAGCAGAGAAAGAAATTCACATCTTAAGAAAGCTCTCATGATGAAAATCGATTATATGAAATTCGAACCATAACACACGACAAAGTTCTCAATACTTGGCAATGTTCAAGAAGTTGATGCACCTATACATCTTACTGAGAGCTTTTTGATTTAACAGCAAAATCTTATAGATTCACAATCCTCGACTTTTTTTACTTGCGTTACCAATGCGTTAATGAAGGCACAAATAAAAAAAAANAAAAAAAAACGTTTACAAACTAATAGAACGCCTTCACTCGCATACCTACGAAAATAAACACGAAAATCTTAGAGAAAGAAACAAATAAATGACTCAGACATGACTCAGAGTGATACTCTACTAGAAGAAAAACTTACAGAACGATAGAGAAGATCAATGGATCATTCGAACATTTAACGTTATTGATTCACAGGCTTGGCTTCAACAACAGCAACTGCTGCTCGATTAGAGCGCATATGAATATGAGCGCTGGAATGGTACTCATTATGTATTCCTCAAGAAATGAGGACCAAAAGAACTACGAAACCCCTTCGGAGATCCTATTAGCATAGATTATTCGCAAAACCAAACACTAAGGAGCCTTTAACACGTTGCCGACAATGTCGCGCGACAGCCAGGCTGTCTCATGGGACAATGTCGCGCAATGCTGCGCGACGGTGCATTCTTCGATCAGAATTTGTGTACCAGTTCCGCTTTTTGCGCAGATTTTCAATTTAGGCTAATAAGTGTCTAAAACATGCATTTGTTCTCTGCTCCTTCGTCGTAGTAATCATCTGAGACCGCAATGCGAGAATCATCAGTCCGCAACAGCCATATCGTCGCCATACAAACCTCCTGGAGCTTCATCGCTGTCGAGCAGCCAGTTGGCAAAAACCTTTCATTGAAGTTCCTCATTTCGACATCCGTTATACTCATGATGACACGAATTCGCGAAGATAATACTACTTCCAGAGATCCTATTTACATTCCCCTAATTCAAATTTATCACCGCCAAATTTGAAAATACCTTGAGTAGCCACAAATGTTGCGGTGATAAATAATGTTGGATGGTTTGCGAAACATTCTCTCGTATCGCTGGTTTTCAAATGTTTTTGAGCGTATTCACTCATTATTTTGAGGAATAACAAATTTCCAAGAAAGAAACTGTCTCCTCCCACGGGACAGACACGAAAAATTTGGCTCGTCGTCAACGTGTTAAGGAGGTCAGTCAAGAACCAACTAGGCCCATTTGTGTACAGTACGATTGTAACCCTTGAATTCCAACAACAGGGTTTGAAACAGTATCTAATATTGTAGTGGTAGTGGCGCCAAATGTGGTAAGATATAGATAGTAATATGTAATATAGTAATAGTATGGTAAGTATAAGTAGTGGCGCCACTTCGGGGAGTTTCCACTTTCGCGCAGCATTATATTCGTTATAAAAAACACGACATTTCTAAGCTCTAACTTGAGAACAAACTTACAGTAGTAATGAAGTGCAGGCTTTTCTAATCTGTCCTTCCCATTGCAGGTACTGCTGATTGCTGTAGGCGTTTTGCCGTTCTGAACGAATAAATATCCTATGAGAATTAAACGGTGGTAAAAGTAACTGCTTAGTTATTCATCACATATCAAACAACAACGAGAAGCGATAGTATTATATATGCTCAATCTTGTAGATGGTGACAATATAGTAGGCTTTTTCATCCTGTTGTTGTCGCAAAGGTTCGTTACGCTGCTGAGAGAAAAATCACAGCCGTTTACACCCCAAAAAACAGACCCAAAACGGCCGCGATTACCACAAAAACATAACTTATCCTCATCACATTGTATTATAAAATAACCTTTTCGTGGGTGATTTTTTAAATGAGCTTTCTTCTCATGTGACAATGTCCCGAAAATCCGGCAGTTCTTGTTTTTATTGCTACAACCCGTTACGGCCCTACCCGGTCCAGCGATTTCCACATGATCGGTCTCTCGTGTGAGCGTAACGGTATTGAACGATTGATCACGTGGAAATACTCTTCCCCAACTGATAAGATAACTGTTCCGCTTACTCAAACAAAAAACGGGAACTATAAAATTACGATAATGTACTAAACGGTGAAATGTGTCACGAAAGGAAGAGACTGTAACAGAAAATTTTATCAGAGCAGACTTATGTCGTAAAATCATTCCCCTTTACCAAAAAATGATCAAAAACTTTACAGGCTTTGGTGAAACCTGAGAGTGTTACGAGATAGCCCACACCAGCTTGCCAAATGATCCAAAGGCGGTATGAGACGCCATGATAAATATTTCATGGGCCTTATGACCATCTGAGGGCCCAGCGTAGCTTGCTATTTCGACGCACATTCGCTCCAAAACTTTCAAGTTAATGACAACCACTTGTTCGAAAGTTTGGCCAAATCAAGCGGTTCAACATCCATACCCTTTAAATGGGAAGTATTATATACAAAAGTTTCACCAAATCTGTCGCCTCTCTTCGTGTAGCAATAAATTGTTTACTATTTTGCAAAAAAATTCTTTAAGAAAAGTTTTTTAGAACAAACTTGAGCAGATTCCAATCAAAGAGGTAGTCATAGCGGAGCCCTTGGCGATGAAAGAGGTTACGGAAAAGCTGCCTTAAATGGCCATAATCAGGCGTATCTTCAAATCCTAGCGTGCGGCTGTAGCGTAGGTATGAGGCAAAGGCTTCTGAAAGAAACATAACGCCATGAAGAGGAAATTAAAAGGCTGAACAAATTGAACGATAAACTGACCAGGATACGATGCACAAAGCTCTTCTACTGATGTGGAAATCTTTTTCTCTGATATTTTATCGTATTTCTGCCTTTTTGTCGCCGCTTTGAGCCCTTGCCATGGAAGCGTTCCACGATTAAAATACATCAAAACGTAACCCAACGATTCGATGTCATCACGACGTGATTGTTCTGAAATTTTCAATGCAATATATAATGGGTAGGACTGGAATGATGATTAGATTCACATTATGGGATTCACTATTCCTTTCAAACTGAATTCAAATTACCTATTCCTCGGTGAGTATTGACGCTAGCGTAACGAGCAGTACCAGTAAGATTTTTGTTCTCCCTATATGGAATGTGTTGAGACCGCGAATCACGATATTTCTTCGCCAACCCGAAATCAATTATCTGAAGACATTTTGGAATGAGATAACTGCTAAAAGTAATAAAAACACTTATATACGTTCAACAGTAAAAAGATAAACCAACTCACATATACTAAATTTCCCCGCTTTCCTAGACCCATAAGAAAATTGTCCGGTTTGATATCACGATGAATGTAATCCCGCTCATGGATATATTCAATACGTGTGATCTGGAGCGGACACAAGAGTAAATGCAATAGAATAACAAATAAAAATGACGATATTTTACTAGACATATAAGGAGACGAAACTACTATAGAAAAAATCGATATGGACATCTATGCTATTGATCTCTGAACTGAAGACATGCAAGGTGGAAAAATCTGAATGGTTCATTTGCGAGTCTATTTCTTAGATAGGAATCAAGGCATTATTAATGTAGTTACGATAGTGTTAAAGCCTCAGCATTGAGGGTGTTGTCGAAATGAAAAAAATGACCGAAATGTGGCAAACGACATAACCATAAACGGTGTGTAATATCGGTAACTGAAAGTAAGCGGTGAAATTTGACTCACCATCTGATCAGCCAGCAGCAAAACAGTCTTCAGAGAAAATTTCCGTTGACAAAAATTGAAAAGATCTTCAAGTGAAGGTCCTAGAAGTTCCATAACCATAACGTTATAGTCACCTTCCAAACCACACCATTTCACCTGCAACCATGCTCAATTGAAAACATAAAATTGATTCTATGAAAGGATCTACTCTGTAGATAAAGGAAAGGATTCTGAAACCCAAAAAACAAATTAGTTCATCGCAACTAACGAGGCGAAATGCTCAACAACGCATAAGCGATTAAGAAAGAAAACCAATCATGAGTAGTACTTGAACATTGAAAATCAACCCAAAAGAGAAAAACTAAACATCCGACAAGTGCAGCAAAAGCCACTCAAGAAGGCGACTTTCCTGTCTCTCTCTCTTCGCAATACGCTAACACAAAAATATATTTGTATAATCACAAATACCGAAATGCCCGAGCAGAGCGTTAAAGTGGGTATTGACTGAGAAAAGTTATGAAAAAACAACATAGTAAAGTCACACATCTGGAATTCCAATGCCACCAGACATCACGCGGTATAACCGAGCTTCGATGTGGAGCTGCGGATGTTTGGATTTGATACATTCCAACTTCACTGCTACTTCTTCATTGGTTTGCACATTCAGACCTGAAAATATTGAAAATGATACGGTGTCAACTTGGAAAGCAAATTGAAAAAAGGGGGCACGTTCGAGAGTATTCTACATTGTATAGCAATGATTTGCTTCAAACAATATATACAGGTGTTTGTGCCGCCTCCCCCACTTTCTTGGCCTTGCCTGCCGTAGCCATTTTTGTAGCCATTTTTCACAACAAGAGCTGAGAAATACATTGCTGCCTTGAGAAGAAGAAGACTCTCGGTGACAAATTGCTCACTATAAATCAGCTAGGAAAGTGTTCGCCTATGTATGACTCACAGTGGGACGCACTTCACAAAACATATTTCAGCTATTCTCGTGGAGATCGGCACATCATCAATCGTGGAATACGAACTACTTTCATGAGAAAAAAAAATTGAGAAACAAGAAACATGAGAAAAGAAAAACGAGCACAGTCTAATACTATGTTTTCCAAAAATGTTTCGCGCATTCCCTGATCGGATTTCCTCACATGTCTGTTAGCTATCATGCTTTCATCGAAGATACATTTACACGTAAGTTTAATCGGCCTTGATAAAACCACTTCCTGATTCTTAAGTTTATCCAAAATACGGATTTCTAAGCATGGCCTGCTCCTACATAAGACTCGGCAAACCCAGCAACGAAGGGAAAACTCGCAAAACCCTTTATTAACTTATACCTAAGTAGTTTTGCATGATTATGAAGAAAAGTGAAAGGGCATTTCATTAATGGCAAGCTAATATTATTGATTGATTATAGCAAAATTCGCCAATCTCGAGGAAACAATGAAAGTTCCGGATGCACCATGAATTACGCATGAATTACGTTTACAGCCTTTTGTTATAACAAAAAAAAAACACTATTACTACAAAACTGAAAAAGAAATACTTGGAAGTATGAAAACTCACCTAAGTAGATGTCACCGAAAGATCCGCTTCCAATCTTCCTACCGAGTCTGAATCGTCCCCCGACCCGCAGCTCCATCTGCATATCGGCTTAAAGAATGAAAATCAGAATATCATCTGAGACACATGACAGAAACGTAAATAAACTTAATAGCCCACAAATGTTTAAAGTTGAAATATTTGTGAGAAGCCAGACCAACGAAAAAAAAAACTAATGCGTGGTAATATCCACCCTTTACAGTCCGCTAAAACAGTGGATCTAATCGAATCGATGCTTACAGACATTTGAGGGATATATTGACTGTCACTTGAACAAATATGAAATTGTTGCCAAATTAATAGTTTGACAACGAACCATACCAAATAACAGGGTACTTGGAAAGAACGAATATGCTTCCCTCTTGAAATTTGATCGGCTACTATTTCTCTACTGGACCTCTCCGTTGCTTTTCTGTGTATATACTTGATCATGAGCTCAGCAATATGGCTCCTAACTTATTCTCACGAAAAAAAAAAACAAACTTAATTAGTACACATTACACCTACTAGATGTGTGAACAACCACGCCCACAAAAACAGACAATATGAAAGAGACAATATGAATGTTAGAAACTGCTTTCCAGCATTGATATTAAGTCTCACGGTTCCCTGTTGTTGTAATCGTAGACGCTAATTCATTTTGACAGTGTTTTGCGTCTTTTGTTTTGGGTTGAACAATTAATTCTACGTCCAATTTATCGATGTAATTGTTCCGTCAGAAACCAGAGTTTCATAAAAAGACGGGAAAATTACAACCACACATGCGCGCAAACTAGTGGTTTATCGTTCAGTTATGACTTCAAATAACATTTCCGTAAGCAGCTATTCACGCCGCAGTATAAACACAGTCAGTCTCAGAGCGACGACAGCCAAAAAAAAAAAATTTCGGATGCAATTATCTCCATAAAGGGCTAAAAAAAGCAACGATATGTTCCGTAGAGCATGTCTTAGATCAACACCTGAATTAAAACAATATGAAATGAGAAACCCGTTGTCTATAGCATTTCAGGATATTTATGGAAGGAACACATTCTCAATGAGGCCCAGATGAATTTGCAAGGCAGGAAAGAACCATCAATGATGAACCTGCTTTTACAGGGTTCAGAAGCAGTTTATTCGTTAAATTATGAAAGATTTGTGGAAATTCTTCAAACAAGGAGATCGCAAATGCTTCGTGTTCCTACCGCTCAAACCGCGCTCCACTATGTTTGAGCTCCTTCTTGCAGGCTTTGAAATGACTAAGCTCTTGTGTCAACAAATACCGTTTAAATGGTTTAATGTGTTCCATGAACCTTCCTTAATAAGGATGTTATCACAATGTTAACAATTACGTATTACTTACATTTTGCAGATGACTAGCTAAAAAATGTAATATCAGAATTATGAATAAAACCTGGATCCCTCAAAATCCAATACAACTATATGCAGCTTATGCGCTAACAACAACTTCTCCAACCTACGAAAGCAACAAGTTATCTCCTAAATTATACAATTGTAAAAACTTTGCACCAAATTTTGAGAGGTTTCCNTCGAAATTTGCTTATATTTATTCATTTATTTCAGACATTCAAAATGTGCATGACACAAACGTTAGTACTATCTGAACATTATTGAAGAGAATGATCTGACTCAAGCCAAGAAAACACCTCTCCCATGGTGTAGTTCTCAGCTTGTAGCTTTAAGAATAATCGTCGATTTTTACTCTAACTTATTACTTTTTCTCATTTACTTCCTCTTGTGCTGTTGCCTCTGCTACTTTCAAATTCGCTTCGCGATCAGGAGCACAACTGAACCAACTTTTGCATTGATACTATAAAAAAGGGATGCGGCTAAGTTGTCTTCAATTCATGCTACTGAAAACAGCGCACTATAAATGAAAAAGGAAATGATAAATCATAGTTTCTCAACTTTCCTTCTAATTCCAACACAGTTTAGTCTCTCCTAGCCCCTCACTCCATCCGATTATTATTTTCGAATGTTTCAGTGTGTGCATCGCATCCCGCGGCTTGAAACGGGCAAAAACCAGAAGGAATGTACGCAGGCAGTGGGTGCAAAGTGAGTGCGTTAGACAGTCTGTGTACGATGGGTACACGGAGAGGAAGGTGGACGGGTAGGCAGAGACGCGTCCATAGCGCTCTCCCGTCTAAAACCTGCTTTTGCTTTTTCTTCCATTCGCATCACAGAGAACTACCACCACACCAACACGCTTCTAAACCGATCCTTGCACGCACACACACACATACTCATACACACGCCCATATACACACATATCCCCATCCACGTACGCATTCATACACACACGTCCACATTTACGCGCAATATCGCCATCTCGTCAACGACCACGATCACATTCACTTTCAAACCGCCTCTAAAAACACACCACCACGTGACTAATGTCACTTTCACTGGAACCCTCACATATTGTTTGTTATTTAAAATAAAAAGCCGCTGAATGGTGACACCTATAGAATAAGAATAAATGGGAATGACTACTGCGAAAACAAGAATGTACAAATCAGCTGCTTGTAATTTGCAAGGTCAGTAACAATACGAAAAAAGGCAGTGCAAAGAATGTTTGCACTTTTACACTGCGGAAAAACAAGTATGGAACTTACTTAGGTACTTACCATTCAACATACTACATTATGCAAAACTTTCGGTAGCGTATTTCAATTAAAGTTCATTCGAAAACCTTTTGACTGTTCCCCATGACTGCGAGCATTCAGACGAGTCGCTAAGCTCATGGGACATGCACACTGCGTTCATTTATATGCAAATCTTTGCGCATTCATGATGCCACTATTTCAAACTAACCCACTGACTCATAGTTCAACATAAGTACATTACTACAGAGTTAATTGAGATTATGTCTTCATTGATGTTGGAGAATACAAATGAAAACATCATAGAAACGACACTAGTAAGTTTATTTTTAACAAAACCATTTCATGAAACAAACTTACTTATAAACAAAAATAACTCTCGCATATATAAAGCCGTAAGGCTTTCCTAACTTTACTAAACTCGAGGAAATTCTGACTTCAACATTTATTCCCCATGAAATAAATACTTGTAGCTTGTATCGTATAATGTTTCATGGTTGTAGCTACTTCACAAGTGGATATCGAACCACTTTCTTCCAATATTCCACAGCGTCAAACATTTCAGTTACTACCCAGTTTTCCAACTTTTTTTCACAACATTCCTCTATGTTTGCTAAAAAGTTCCAACCTGACGAAAAGAGGGGCTCCCGAATATTATTTTGATTTTGAATATAAGAAAGAAAGAAGAGTTATGGATAAGAACTGGTTCATAGAAAAGATTGATGTGCCGGAATGATGGCCTATTCCAAATAATCCAGCCTTCTCGATGAGAAATTGAAAAGTTGAAAAAAAGAATAAAGGATATCTCACCTTTTCGATGGACCTGCGGCGTCCGACTTTCCAGGAGTTGTGAAACAAATAGAGGATCAAGGGCAAGAACCCAAGATGCAAGACGAGCTGACGTTACAGGGTCCAGGTTAAGAGGCCAAAGTGACGAGGTTGACGTGGAAAGGGCTGAATTCTGCTGAACCCAGGTGCAAGGGCCCTCTGATGGTTGATGATAACCCGGCCAACTTTGCGCCTCACCACACGAGGCCTGCATATACGACAGGCAGCGCAATGCGCAGTCCGGGCACACTCCCTCCAGTTTAGACTGAATTCAGTAATGTGTACGTAGAATAGACGAGATTGATCCAATGAAGACCATGCATAGAAATAATTCAAAAACTATGCTATGGTCACTACAGGCGCATAAGATAGAGTGCAACGTGAAAGGAAGAAAGAAAGAAATAGTTCGCGTTTGAAAAGTGAAAGCTATGGGCGGGATACAAGAGATCGTCGCAACGTTTAGTGAGACGCAACAACGAAAACCGGCCTGGCCTAACCGCCAGTCGGCACCTCCGGAAATGTTCCGACTGGTCCACAAACAATATTGAAATCTACGCCCGAACAAACAGCATTGACCGACGATCTCATGGGAAGAAAACACAGATAAAAACGAACATTTCGACACGTGAAGAGCCTGAGAAACATATTTATCATGCTCTTTCTATGGGGACTGTGATTTAGTTGTTGAAGAGAACACGTTGTATCCACCTAGCAACAGATGGTGAACCCAGAAAAGAACGTGGTCGTGATCGGCACGAAGAAGCCTTCGATAAAGAACCAATTAGAGAAAACCAAGTGATTCGCCAGAACAGGAAAATGCCAATGATGCCTCACAAAACGCCGAGACCAGAACTAGTTCGAGCTGAGTGCTTCACGTGTGATGATTCAACGGGCGAGAACATCATGCATCAATGCCGTAGCGAGTTTTTTTTTCTCGTTGGCAACACATCAAGCACAACAAAAACAGGACCAATAAATTCATGTGATCTGGTTGGTCGAAAGCAGACGATGATTACAACAAAAAGTTCAGAAATCTCCACAAAATTCGAAAATATTTTGAAAATAGAAATTGAAAGAGTTTGATGGACATATTCTTTATGAAAGGGCAAATGGACATTTGTCAGCATATTAGCCAAATTTGATTTCAGTCGATTTTGACGAAAATATGATACAAAATTTTAGCTCTGTAGACAAAGAGCAGTCCAAATGAATGCTACCAAAATATGGTTGAACCAGGATAAAACCACAATTCTGTTTTAAGAAATTATTGAAAGGCTAAAAAAAAGTTGTGGTAAAACTCTAAAACTACATCACTTCTACAGTTGNTTCAGTCGATTTTGACGAAAATATGATACAAAATTTTAGCTCTGTAGACAAAGAGCAGTCCAAATGAATGCTACCAGAATATGGTTGAACCAGAATAATGTAACCACAATTCTGTTTTAAGAAATTATTGAAAGGCTAAAAAAAAGTTGTGGTAAAACTCTAAAACTACATCACTTCTACAGTTGCTCCCAAACCATATCATAATGATAAACCATCCTTTTCTTTGCATACAGGCACTACACTCACACATTCGATGAACCACAAGAGTTGCCGTACTCAAGGTCATGCATGACATTCGCATACAGCGCGATATTATCGCCAATACTTCCTCGCGTTCCATACTGTACATTTTTTCTTAAGGTCACGAAACTGCTCAATACTGAGGGAGGATGCGAGTTAAAATAATACCCCGTGGAACCTGAAACGAACCCAAAAATCGAGATTCCCATGAGGACCGCGGAATATAGCTATAAATTCAAGCCCATAGGGACATGAAAATGTCTAATAAATTTCACATCGAAAAAAGTTTCAAGCCACAATGAACGACGTGCTAAGGTTATTCAATTAAACATCGCCACAATATTGAACCTCCCAACTATGGCAACATATTGCAGAATTATGGTAATTTAATCTAAAATAATTGAAACACTGATAAATTAAATAGCCCATATGCAGTAATCGATCAACTACACAAAAACGTCGGAGCAGTGAATGAACAAAAAAAGTGGTAAGTGAAACTCACACGGAAAGGACGTTGGAGTGGACGGACGGCACCGTTCCCCACTAAATTAAAGGACAAAATTATGTGTAAGCATATCTGTCTACTGCATGAAATGTCAAGCGAGAAACTAGTAAATCAGTTAATGGTGCTGTAAACAACACCCAAATTTAGTAGCATGACGTGAACTCTTGAAAGGTAGAGGAATGAAAAAGAAGCAAAGAATATAACCAGAATGAAAATGAGTGTAAACATAAGGATGGGAAAATATTACAATAAATTTAATGTTTATAGCCCATCACGTTGATTTCCATAAAAGAAGCATGAGATATATAAGATTATAAAAGGTATAAATACTGTAAGCGTAAGCAGAAACACAACTAAATACCTAAAACACTGTGAATTGTCATTAATTGTTGTTCAAGGTCCAGACTGAGACTGAAAAGATGTGAAAACACATTGGCCGGGAAGAGGTTTCTCCAGTAAACAAAAGAAGTCTTATATTCGTAAATAGGTATGAAAACAACAATAAATGAAACACAAACCACAACTATGAGATCAGTGAGAACGAAGATTCCGCGTGAAAGAAGCGGCGTCCGGGGCGATGACCCTATCGAGTGCGTTTGTATTGACCGCAACGCAGCCGCATACATTTAACGGAAATCGGAGCTGCAACGGGCAAGGTGTAGTTTTGGGGCGCCTGTGCCGAAACGTCAGTGCCCATTCATTTCCTCAGAGGCTCTGCTTCCGAGGTAATGCTAACTGTTGATAGGTAGGCTCCAGTAACTTCGTTGTTGAGTTGACTCGTGACTTGGTAGGAAGTGCGTGCGATGTCCTGATAGGGGCAACGACAAGAGTCTGGTATATTTGTAATCGTAAGAGTCCCTACTGAGAGTCGTAATTACTGGATATGCCGTATAAATTGTCGTATTATTACTGTAGTTAAAGAATAAATGGTAAAGTCTTCAGGCTCCAGTCAATCCCATCTGAGGATGCGCTCCGCATTCGACTTCCACTCAGAATCGTAGTGGCGTAATGAGTGCGTATGTAGGCCAATACAATGACCTGCGGTGGCAAGCCGGCCGTACAATTTAGTGCATTTCCTCCCAGACGAGTATGGTATCAAGTATCCGATCCCGGCGATGGAGGGCTTGGTTGGCCTAGGCGGGCATCGAACCGGCATTCGAACCCGTGCCCATGCGTGTGTGAAGTGCGTCTCTTGCCACTACACCATATCCGTCTTGTAATTGTAGATAAAGAAAACAATTGCTTCCATTTGTTTACGTTTGCAAGCGGTTAGTTCTTTAAAACTCTTCTCCATATGTACATCTCTGTGGAGGCTTTTCTTCGTCTTCATTTTCATAATTATCGCAGTTTTTTTTTTAATTTTTCATAAATATCATTTGGAATATGAGTAAATGCTTGGGTGATATAGCCATGAACAAATGCACCATGAGTCTATGATTTGATTCTGGCATGTTTTGAATCGCATCGATGCTACGCCATGCATTCGACTACATTTCAGGATTTTGATATATTTTCAATGTGAAATTGGCTTGTACGGAAAAAATGTAGGAGTTATCTGATGTACGAAACAATCTGTTTATCGTCCTGGACAGATCTGTTACTGAGTAACCGACCCAGGAGGGATTGAGGCCAGTTTCATCCAGGACCCAAATTTTAGAACACGTGTTCGATATCCTTCCGGAGTGGCACTGACCTACGTCCTACGCCTGTTTCATTAATTTCAGTAATCCTACAAAACTGTTATCCCCTCAGTTCAGGTTCAATTGCTTTCTACACCTTTTCTTAACTGAGAACATTCCAGTTTGTGACCAAAGCCAGTGTAATAACAGATGGCAAGGCTACTGCATTCATGAGCCCGGGACTAAACGAAAACCACTACAGCCAAGCAGATTTTCACCTCTACAGGGTTTGAGTAGCTGGTGCAGCTTACACTTTCCCTGTGGAGCGAAGTAAAACGACTTCAACCATGACTAGTTTCCGCACTTCATTGTAAAGGCTATTTCAATAACCTGTATTACTCTGAATAGGGAAGTTGGAAGCGTGGCGCATCTTAAAGGTAGAGACCAATTGGCTCAATGTGTTGGATGAATCTATGGCCGTTCAAAGCGATATTTTTGACAAATATGGGTTACAGATTCTGATTCTATTCAGTGCCATCCCTACAGCAACCTGCCTGATTGCTTTGTAATTTTAAACGGCTCCCGATGGGAAATTGTGTACCTGGGACCTTACATACAGGTGAGAACTGAATCCTAACCTTCTGATCCAGAAGAATATGCAGAAGGATGAAAGCTGTCATCACTTTTTGAAAACTTTTAAAGGACTTAGTTGAGCCAATAAACTCATTTCCCATGATGAAAATGTTTCGTTGTGGGGGTTCTGGCCCACTGTCCAATCAGAGACGCGTTAAGTAGGCAGGGCGGCTGTGATTGGCTAGTTGTCTGTGAGCCGCGCCGCATGTCCACACTAACGTCCAGTGATGCTTACTGCTCTGAAAGTAAAAGTAGCCTTTCAGGAAACACGTCTGTGAACAAGCGAAGAATAAACGATCAAGTAAATATTGAATGTTAAGGATGAAAATAATAGAAACGAGAGGGCTCGCATGGAAGCCTGGGCGTAGCTGTAGGCACGAACAATGACAGCTTCTCATACTGTTCAAATACTGACCGGTTTTATACAGGGCTCGCATGGAAGCCTGGGTGCAGCTGTAGGCACGAACAATGACAGCTTCTCATACTGTTCAAATACTGACCGGTTTTATACAAGTAATCAGACATAAAAAGACTATGATCAATGCGTAATCGAATTCATTTGTAAATATACTATGGAATTCGGGCAACATACGAAGATTCTGTACAGATCACAATTTTACGTAATTCACTGATATGTTGCTTATCAGCTAAGGCAACCTATACCAGTCACAATGCGGATAAACAAGTAATCATATCCTAATAGATAAACGTGTTACTATATTGACAAGTGATTAGGAGGTAAGTGAATCGTAAAGCTTGCAAGTGAAGCATATCTGTTTTCTTCCTAAATTCGGCACATTGTAACATTTAGTCACTTTAGAGTTAATGATCTTGCTGGAAAGGCTCACTGTGGCGGAATGAAGCGGCTCATTGTGAAGATTCGATGCGTATCGATCCGAGAAACATGCAACGCCATAAGCTGTTGCGGTAGACTCAACCCGTAGTGCAAAGGCAGTACGGAACATTCCTAATACCAGCAGAAAAAACCCAAATCACCCGTTTCGAAGATATGTTAAGTTACTAATAACAATCAGAGGTCAAGATCAAAAGGAATCGATAAGTGATCGGGAAGAACAATCAATAGGGGACCTCTCTGTCAAGGCTAGAATGACATCTATGGGCTAGACACTTGTAGTTTGATCCTGTGGGAGTCCTGCCAGCTCCTTTCCGTTCGGGCTTTGTTGCGGACGTGTATAGGCACGTAGCCATGCTGGTTCTTGTCCAAAGTCAAAAAGTATTCGTTCAAACTTTTCATGATTTGCTTGAGGGTCTTTAATACGTCGATGCCTAAGCCACCTGAAAATACATAATCATTTACTTAATGATGAAAATGTCTCACAATTTTAAGTTCCTTTATCGAAACATCGAATTTCGGACTTGGGGGGAGGGAGGAAGGCTTGTGTGACATATGGTTACTAATTTCGTAGATATCAGAATTTCGAGAAAGTGCCCATTGATATCTACAACTTTTTTTGGGCCCTTCAAGCTGAATGTATGAAGCGGGTTATTTATTTATTCACCGCTACTTTGATAATTTTTACTTTATTCAATCTAAATCGAGTAATTTTGCCATCGTTTAGTTTGAATAAGTAACGTTCTCCCCAGTATGTGAAGACGAATCCTGCATGCTTTCCAGTGGAGTGCCAAGAGGGAAGATTCTACGCGGCCAATTCCTGTTAGGGGGGTGTGGTGCGTTAGGAACGAAATGGTCGCGTCGCGGTGAGAGGGGCGTCGCGCGCGAAGGAATGTAGCAGGATGCAGCAGTAGGTAAGNATCGCATATCGATTGAGCTGTATGAAGAACGTTAGAGTTGTAATAACGGCGAATGAGTGGTCCGCGACAGCCGCGTGCGGCGAATCGATTACCCAAAATCGTTCCTAACGTCCGTCTCCCCTGTTAGGGGCTCTTTCAGACCCAGTTGACCAAAGTACTCCACATAAGTTGATGGTCCAGGCCCACCCCCGAAACACCTCATCCACTGAGCTGCTCTTTGGGTCGTCATGATCTTTCTACTCCCTTTCTATAGCAAAGAACAGTGTATTAGAAACTAGAAAATCTACTGGGAGATCAGAAAAATAGAGCACCAAGTTTCAATAGCTTTGTAAAGTAATGTAAGTACTTACTTTTCTCGAAGTTCCAGTATCAAAAACTCCACCACACCATACTGGAAGAGATATGAGATAACGGCACAAATGAGGGCAACCATAACCAGGAAGAGCCGATTTTCGAAATACGGTATCGGATCGTATTCCAAAAAACTGATAACAAAGCCAGGCGGCCATAATGTTATGTAGAGTGATACCTGGAGCACAAATCAGCTATTCTTAGGTGGGGTTACAACTTCACAGCATAGGTAGTATAGTTTCTTATTTGCGCCGTGTGAACAAGGATCGCTGTGATTGGTCCACCACCTAAGGAGACCAATCAAAAGCATCCGCGGAACAAAATTCATGATTTTGTCACATTGGCCGAAGGCAGTTTTAAGTAAATTTTTGGGGCAGTTTTGTTAGACTCACCGTCGTCAAAACTAGCAAAATAATACACAATTGTGGATTGAAAAACATTGGTTTCCTATACGGTTCTCCTTTACTGTAGATGATCGCCAGCGAAATGTATTGAAGGGTAGTGGTACAGAACAATGCAGTACCCTGAACAAGTACAAAGTGCGATTTTTTATAGAACTGGCGAAATACTCGTGAAAATTGTTGTGCAGGCTGGTACCTGCATACTTCTCATGTCCTCTTCCTCGTCACCAGCTGGTACAGCATACGGGATAAACCATGGCTGCCACGTTGTTGACACAAAGACGTAAAACTTAAGTAAGAGAGCTTACAGTGGTGATCTACAGTGTTTACACCAGTCAAGTAACGAGTAAAGTCCCTTTGAAAAGTTCCGTGACGAAAAAGTACCTGAGTGATCGCCATGATGAACAGCTGACCGCATACGGAGGTAACACTAGCGAGGGAAAGCAGACGTGTTGGTGGAGGAGTCGAACTCAGGCAGTCACTTGCTGGTGTATTACCGAAGAACAGAGCAACCAACGTAATAAGGAACAAGTCTATGTAGAGATACTGAAAAAAGTATTTTACGTGGAATAAAATGATTTCCACGGAGAAGATCCCTTCAATGTAAAAGCTTCCTACAAAAGGTCCCTCTGTAGCTAACAGGTTGCAATAGAGAGAAATTTAGAAAAGTCACCCGTTCCTCTAACGTAGTCCCAGAACTTCAAGAACTCATCTTCGAAGTATTTGGACTTTGTTACAAAAGTGTTACTATGTGTACTACTACCAGCACAAACTTTATAAGAATAAATGGTGAAAATGTAGTTTGGGGGGGGGGGCACCCATTCAAAGGCTAGTATATCAAGAAATGAACTCAATGAAACGCGTTACGCCGTGTTATATCACGGACATGCCAGTTTCTAAATAAGGGCTTTCGTAGAGAAGGAGCA